ATGTTACCTGCTGCCATTTTTATTTTTATTTTTTATTTTCCAGGTGTAAAGATTGCATGTGATACAGTGGGCATTTTCAAGGGGAAATTGTAGAGAGGTGTTCAGGCCTGATAAGGGTTGTATATGAATGGAAGACGACAGAATTCTAAATCTGAGTTTCACAAAGGTTGAGTTTTGCACTGAGGAAGGAATGATCCTTGTGAAACAGGATTTAGAGCAACAAAAACGAGATCCCAGTCTGCTCCCAGCACTGTTTCTGTAATTTCTCAAATTGGTATTTAAATGCAAGCCTTTATAACTCATCTTGCTGTATAATGTCTAGAGGGGAGATGCTTCAAGGTAACCCCTCCAAAATTTTATTCTAACCAGATATCCTGAAGAACCCATTCACCTTTCCTCTCCTCCTGCAAAGAAATCGCATCCCTTCAGGACCTATGTCTGTTCTGTCCAAATGCGAGGTGATGGGCAAACCTTTTCTGTTGACCAGAGGAGATTTTTCAGAGAAATGGTGAATAAATACTGAAATAACTCATCTCGTCATGGACACTGTTCAAATACTTGATAGGCCTTCACAGCTTCTTCTCGGGTTAGTTGCTGCTATATGTATAGGCTATATGAAATGCTGCTGTTAAATAGCTAACAAAACGTGCTTCCCGTGTCAGTCCTTTTATTCAACCCCACCTGCAGTTTACCTGCAGGGGTGGATCACGCTGAGCCTGAACGTTGCCACCTGCAGCAGCATTCATCAGCACTGTGTCCTCATCGAGACCTGCAGATCTGCTCCCTCTGGGGGAAACATCCACCTGCCTTTGCTTTCCTCAAGTCTCCGAGAGCTTCTCTGCCATCAGTTTGCAGGTCTGGCTTCTCGTACATGTAACCCATCACCCCAGGGAAAGAAATGTTCCCTGTGTCCCAGCTGCTGCCAAGATGCCAAGTGCATGCCTGTCCCCATGCAGCACTTTGCCTCAGCTCCAGCTGCTCTTCCCCTTGTTGGGATCAAAAAGTTGGAGAGCTTGAAAAGCGTGGTGGGCAGGGCCTGGGGCCGAGCAGGTAGGGCAGTATTTCCTCTGTGCTACTTCTGTCTTGGTAGGGGGTGCCAGGGATGAAGCTGAAGTAGGTTTTAGCTGGGTTGGAAGAGTTGGCAGACATCTTCCTAGGAGGTCAAGGCTGTGAAATAGCACTGCTCAGAAATAACAGCTGAGGCGGAGAGGCTGCATAAGCCTGGGCTGCTGGCTGGAGAGGCTGCGGGTATGGAAGACGGGCCAGCGAGGTAAAACAGAATCAAAGCTGGAAGAGAAATGGTAACTTCTGTATGGCAGATCAAATAAGGCTGGGCAACATGCGTCTGGCTGGATACGTGAGCCATAACCGCCTGGATCTATTTAGTTATTTCTATTTAGGCTTTTAAAATTCACTGGGCAGATCAGTTCCCCGGTCCTGTGGAGGAGCAGCAACGTGGAAGCATCTCAGATAAACTGCAGGCTGTTCAGTATCCATGCCTTTTATGGCAGATTTTCTGGATTGAGTGTGCTTGGAGGGTTATACAGAGATACAGTGCAGAAGTCATATCCTTGTGAATCCACAGAGAAGTAGGAACCCTGAGTGTAAGCAAAGGTGACGCTGTTTTCTGTCAGATGCTCCTCTGGGGCAAAGCTGTACTGGGAGATGGCACTGACCCTGGGTGGCATGGGATGGAGAAGATGGACCCTTCCAGCCCTGCAGAATGCAGATAGCTGGCAGAGTCGCCTTTCCCTGCTCCGTTCCTCTGCAGCTGGGTGCCCGCAGCACATCTGGGTGCCCCCTGCCTGCCAACCCCCCCCCAGGTACTTGGCTTTCCTCCAGTGGCAGCGAGCACAGGGAGCAGAGGTGGTACAGCAGGAGCACCCTAAAATCTTGCCTATGCATTAGTCTCCATCTGGAGGTTGTTCTGTTGCCAGAGGCAGTTTATCTAAACAGATCCCTGCTACCTCGACAAGAAAGCCAACTCTGTTTTTTGATGTTCCTGCAGATTCAGGGAGTCTATAGGAGTGCATTAATTTCCCTTTTCTTCTTGGGAACTGCTTCATCTAATGCTTTGAATAAGCAAACCTTGTTGTACAGAACACCCATGGTACCTAGCAAATACATACTACATAAGTGTATCTAAACATTTTTGACTCGAGTTATTTAACAATTTTCACATTTTGTCCTTCTATTTTTTTTTCTTTTGTTTATCTAAAGCATCTAAAGAAAAGGGGGGGAAAAGTAACTATTAGAGACAATTATTACTTTAACTGTTGTTTGAAGTTGAATATTTGTAACTAGCATTTTACAAACTTCTTTTTCTGTTCTCCATTTGCTTTGTTGGACTACCATTATATATAAAGCCCCAAAGGAAAACAATTGGTTATCCATGCTTTCCAGTGGCTTGAAACAATTCCTCTGAAAGAGGCCCTGTAAGGAAACCATCCATTTGTTTTCCCTTTCAGAAGTGAGCTAAGTCTTTTCAAAGAGGGGAAACTTTTATTTGATCTTCTGCTCTTACGAATATCAGGGCTGATTTTTTAACCTGTAACTATGTACCATAAGGATCAGAAAGTGGATATTTTTCTCTATGGAGTTTGTGTTATGTACTTTGTGTTGTTCAGAGCAGTTCCAGTATAAGGTGTTATCACTAATCTGTAGAAGCAAGTCTAAATGAGGGTTCAGCAAGTAGGTATGTCTGATTAGAAAAGTGGTGGCTTGCAGAAATATTATGAAACTACTGAGAAAACATTAAATAATATATACTGAGAGTTGAGTGGGGATTCATCACTTCCTTTTTTTTGTTTAAGACACAGCCTGCTGGTGCTGCAAATAATGTTTGTTGCTGGTTTCAAGCGATATGAAGGGGGCTGTGACTTTCTGAAGGGATTAGCTGCCAAATTCTGCCCAGTTCTCTTATGAATGTTGGCCTCCCCACGACTTTGACCAGCGTACCCAATCTGGTGAACAAAAAGGAAAGCACCCACAAAGCTTAAATGCTTTTCAGTTGGAGTGCCTACTGAGGAAGGAATCCTTTTATTTGTGGTTTTGGACTTGAGGCCCTAAAATCTGGGGAGCCTGCATCCTTCTTCGTATTTAACCACACGTGTTTCAGAGCGCTATCCCTTACTTCAGACAGGCCTGTAGTACTGGCTGGTGATGTGGTGGTCAGGTGCGGATTTCCTCTTAAGCCAGGACAGGGTCTGTGCTCACATAGGCTTTAATGCAAGGTCCTTACTTCAATGACTGAAGCTGGTAAGAGGAATGGGACCATCTGTTCTTTGTATTTACCTTTTTTTAGCTTCTCTTTAAGGTAGTGGCAAATAGCATACCAGTCCGTTTTAAAGAAACCTGCTGCAGTTAAACTTTTTACTGTGAAGAGCCCTATTTTTTTATGAAGTGGAATGGAGTATTAAGTGGTGTTCAGCAGTAGGTCTACTTAAAAAATAACAGAATCAGATCCACATGCATTTGTTGCTTCTATTGCAGACTTTCTGAGATTTTCTCTTGCTTACAGGATATTATCTTAGGCAAAACCTATCAATTTTAAGACATGTTTCAAGTTTCATCATGTACTAACTACATCAGTTACTAGAGAACTTCCCAGAAATTTTGTTGACTTTATTTTTTTACATTTGAAGTTAATTTTAAATCAGTGGGGAATGAGTTTCAAACTATATCTCAGTTCGGTAAGTTATGGTCAGCATTAAGAGTCACTTAGTCGGTCTCCGATGTCATCACTGTTGGATTTGGAATATGTTGCTGTTAACTGTTGCTTGCCCAGGATTTCCACAGGGATGCTTGAGTGCTGCTCTGTTGAAGGAAATCCCATGAAATTAGAATGTTTTTAATTAGTTGCTAGTAGAACCAGTATATGTGTGATTCTCTTAGAGTGAGCAGTGTGAAGACAGAGTTTCTCAGCTAATGAACGTAAAATCTCTGCAACAAGAAGTAGGGTTAGCAATAAATGAGGTACTGTTCTGTCTCTTTGGACACACTTTTACTCCTGAGAATTTCACTGCATTGTGGCCTTCCCACATCTGCAGAAAGGTACAGCACACTCCCGTCGCCGTCTTGGGCTCTGTGTACTTACAGATGTCAGAAATAAAGCCATAGAAATGCAATACTGACAGTCCCTGACTGTTGCCTTTCTGCAGGAATGTGTTACTATAATTAAGATTGGTTTGCCTTAGGTAAAATGAAGAACAAATTACTCCATGTATTCTACTTTCCATGTTTGTTTACTTTAAGTGGTCATTGGTGGTCAATAAAAAAAAACAAAACTACGCATTCATAGTGGATTAGCATGCACTGGAAGGAGCATTTAGTGCTTTCATGTTTAGGAAGTTTGAAAATGAATAGATCAGGTGAAGCTGTCAGTGACTAACACTTGGTAGGGGAGACGTGGCTATTGGAAAGTCACAGCTGTTAATTGAAAGGAAGTATTTTGCTTGACATTCAGAAATAGCCACAAATAAAATGAAAATTCCACTTCCCTGTCATTAGAAAGAAGGCTGTTTGAGGGGGAGAAAGTGTCGTATCCAGGGCAGTGTGCTATTCCAGGAGTCTGTAGCAAGTACTGTATGCCCATGGCTACTGAGTTGTCTTTTGGTTTAACTCTGATGCTGATAGTGGAGGTGGAGGTTACGTTGTACAATCACCAGTTCCTGTTTTTTTCTTACTTTAAAGATTTTCCCAAACACCTAATACCAATACTTTAAGGAATCATTTTGCACATATTCTATAGCTTTTGAATTTCATTTTGACTGCTTTAAAGGTTAGCATGACTGAAACTCTTCTTGCTCTTACAGCCCAGCTAATTTGTGTTTGGTATTTCTTTCTTTTCGTGACACAAAGTTTTCATGGCGGGGTGATGTGTAGGATGTTACTCGTTTGTGTAACTGGACTGTAGTTCTTAAAAATAAGCCAATGCCAATTAGTAACTGTTCATAGTTTTATTTGGCTGAGACCCTTAGACAAATGAGTTTGTTTTTTAGGCTGAACAAGACAACGGTCATCCTCTTCCTGCCTTTGCCAATTTGCATATTGAAGTCCTTGATGAGAACAATCAGAAGCCGTACTTTACAAAGTCTACGTACGAGGGCTTTATCCTTGAATCCTCCCCAGTGGGAACAACGATCTCTGATAGCCAGAATCTGACTTCTCCATTACAAATCACAGTGTTGGACAATGATGTGGAGGAGGTATGTTTCTCTTTCTTATGTACCTTCATACTGGTGTTTTTGGTTTTAGAGTTTTATTTTTTTCATATTTTTTATGGAGACAAAGCTCTTTCAATCCAGATTAAAAAAAAATCACTAATTGTGTGTATTTTTTTTTCATTATGAGTTCAGAAGGATTTTAAAGTGTTTCTGAACTGAAAAACAAACAGACTGTTTTTGCCCAGCTTTACCTAACTGTGTACTGTTAAAATTAGTGGATGTATAGCGTGAGTAGGGAAAAAAAATTACATTTTGTGAGATGAATGGATGTGTCACAGGGTATGGGAAAATACGAGAGAGAAGCTCAAAATGGAAGGAATAGGTCATTTGGACGAACCAGAAGGAGAGGAACAGGAGAAAAGGAGGCCAGAAGTTCATTCTGTTATTTTCTGTGCCCATATTTTGATACTAACATTTCTCATGGTACAAATGGAACGTATTTGAAAAAGCAATAACCAAGTAATAGCCATACCGAGTCTACATAGCTAAGTTTTCTTCTGGTCTCACCGAGGTTACTGCTATTGTGTGTTTTTTCCATTGGTATTTCTTTTTCCTCCATACACTGTTTCTCCAGCAGTCACCTTTACTCTTCTTGTTTGTTTCTGTTCTTTTGTTCTCTTGCTGTTTTCAGGTACCTAATGAAAGCTAAGTTCTACACATGGTGTTTTTAGCAAAATAGTATATGCTACTACACTTTAATAGAGCTCTTGACCTGATGTTCTGCAAGCCATCTTCTGTTCTTGAAGTTTCACAGTTGATACAGGCATATTCGTTAGTTTTGAGGAATGCAAGGGGCCAGTTTCACTAAAAGATGCTTTCCATCCTTGTCTTCCATCAAGTAATTTGCTGTCCTAAAAAACTGTTTTAAAGCCCAAAGTAATGTAGAATATCTCCTATCTATCCATTAAAATATCTCACTCAATTCATGGTCAATCACAAAAATCACTTGGGAGGCAAGCAGAAATAGCTGCTGGAGATGGATGTCAGGGGCTGGAACAAGCACATGTGGCATCAACAGCTGGCATTACAAACAACTTCTGCTGTGTGTGAATTACTCTTCTGCAGCAGTGCTTTTGTTAAAATCAAAGCAGTTCTCTCATTTGACCAAAAATGTGGTATTTTGTAGGTTGCTTCAGAAGGCTTTCTTAAAGGCTATGGTCTTTATGTGCGTTACAAAATATGAGGCCATTTTTAGATGCCTTTTGCCTAAGCAAATTGCTATTTTGTCTTAACACACGCCTTCATCAAAGTGCTGGTAAAAACCCTTTGGTTCAGATATGCCTGGGTGTAGAGACAATTCTGGTTGTCTCCCTAAAAGGCTCTTTGTTACAGGAATCTGGAATTTTAGGGCACCATTTATGCCCACCACGTAACAAACCTGTGACTGTTATAACTTCTGAAAACTGTAAAGAGAGACTACTCATCACCTGAAGGGTGTGGAAGGCTGAAACAGAGCAAGTTTGTCTGTGGGGCTGCTGGACTTGCACATCAGATGGGTATGGTACAAAACACAGAGCAGGGATTTTGGCAAGCTGCAGAGCTGGTTGGGATCCGTTCTGCCTGGGTTGCCTCACTGCTGGCTTGGGAGGTAGACGGCCGAAAATGGTACAGAAATCTGGCTGTTCCTCCTCTCACGGTGTGCTGCTGGCTGTTCTCTGTCAGCAAGTCCACCGCTGGTCCTGGAGCTGTGAGATACCTGCCTCAAGGTGTTGTAGCTGCAGTGGCCTAAGAAAATCCCACTGTGTGTACGATTCCACGGGGGTAAGTGAAGTCATCTGGCATGGCATGATGAGGGACTGCATCAGTGGTGCTTGAAATAATTCAAAACTGTTTTAATTGAAAAGAGTTCAGCGTCCAAGTTCAGACGCTTGTATTTATTTGGCATTTTTGCACATCTGTGTTTGTTCTGGATGTTCCTGGTAGATGACATTGTTACACTCTACAGGAATGGGAGAAAGATTTGATGCCAATTACCTCCAGAGCTTTTTTAGGTTAGTGATTAACAGTGCTCTAATTAACCTAACTTTATTCTGGTGGTTGCACGGTTCTAACCACAAGGCGTTTAAGGCAGGTTTGATGACAGAAAGTTCTGTGATGTATTTGTGTACTACATTGTACAAGAGATTGAAAATTAAGATGATTTTGAATTTTTAAATGCTGTGTTTGGACTGCCTGTTCGAATGGGTCTGTAAGCACCAGGTTCTTAGTGTAACACATGATGTTTTTATACTCCCTAACTAAAAATATTTAATCTCAATGTTATTGATGATGTCAGTTATGTTGAATGACTTGAGTTTCCAGCGGGTTCACTGAAATTTTTCACAAGCAGTTTGATGTCAGGGCTCCATGTTCTATCATTGTGCCTTCTCCATAGCACATCAACGTGCTCCCAAGAAGTTATCGCAATATTTGGATATTTAATAGGGTGGTTTGTTTGTGTGTGCTATGAATTTCAACTTGGATGTGGCACAAATATTTATATTTTTAATTGTATTGCTATTAATAATAATAATAAAAAATCTATCCTTTCTAGAGCAGAGATTTCAGTTGGGAGCGTTAACCTAACTTAAGTAATCTATGTCAAGTTTATCGTTCTTGAACACAAGCTGCTTTACGCAGTTTATTAAAAGTCGCTAAATATTCCCATATCTCAGTGTTAGTAGGCCTGAAACTTCATATTTGTAGGAAATGACCATTCAAGAGCCCAAACATATCTCATAGTGAACTTATGTGGTGGATTTGCACTGATGCTAAGCTCCAGCATGTTTTTCTCTCACTCTTCAACAGAACAGCAGGAGAAAACATGAAAAGAAAGTTTATGGGTTGAGATAAGGACAGGGACAAACGCCCCCCAGTTACCATCACAGGCAAAGCAGATGCGGCATAGGGAGATTCATGTAATTTATTGCCTATAGCTAGTGTCAGACTAGAGCAGTGAGAACTAAAAGCAAACTAAAAACATCTTCTCAGTGAGGAACCTTTTCCTAATATCCATAAGTTAATGAAAATCTGGTTAATGCACATGACACCAAATGCAGTATAGCCATAAGTCTCCTAGCCTAGGGTGTTTGTTAATTATTGAATAAGTTTAATATTTCAGTGTTTTGTGATGAGTAACTACCAAAGCTTCCTGGACTACGAAATGATGTGGCATAAGGTGCTTTTGCAGCCTCCTACTGTGTGGTGGACAGTTTGGGACAACTTGCTAAAGCTATTGCATAATAAATACCTGGTTCTGCTCTTTTGTGTTCATTCGCTGCAAATAGACTAACCTGATAGAATATTTCTAATGCAAATTGAATTACAAATGAAATTTAAAAGGAAGCAAGGTCTTTGGCTCAAGCATTCAAGTGCCCATGTGCCTCTCCATAGCATGGCAAAACTGGCATTTGCAGATGTGAATCCTTGAATTCACTGGATCGTCTGCATTTATTTCTTTGGCTGCTTAAGTTCCCTCTTTTGTCCCTTTCAGATAGTAATGTTTTCTGTTTTCGCTAGAAATAAAGTTTTCTGCATTGTTCATTTTTAGGGTGGTAGAGAAGTAAACAAACAACCCAAACAGATTCTGTGGGGGGAATTTGAGGGATTCTGACTGGGAGAAGCCGTTCAGACAAGTGGAAAAATGTCACAAGGCTCTAAGGTGTATTGACGCGTTTTTGATGTGTTTGATGGAGCTGTGTCTCTTCACATTGCCGGCTGGCTGGGCTGTAGGTGGTGAGTAAACAGATGGAAAGAGTGATGACTGGAAGAGTTTGCTTAAATGAAGACACATAGGGTAGAAAGATTAAAAAATATATATACAGTATAAGTTTTTTTTTTTAATAACTGGTTTATAATAGCACATTTATAAACCTTGCCAAATTCACCTCTTAGAAATTAGGAATGTTGAAAGATGATGTGAACTTTGTTTCTCACAGGCTTTCCTTGGTTATCTGTGGTTGGTTTGTGGTCTGCTTTGTTACAGTGAAATTATCTGGAAAGGTTTAACATCACAGGCTAAAGATTAGCTAGTTAACCAATACTGCATTGTGTACTGCAATACATTATAGTGCAACCTTCCTGCGTTCGTTTTAAAAGAAAAAAAATGCATCTCAAGAAAAAACAAGAGTCAATCACAGGAAAGGAAAGCTTACTTGGATAGAATTTCTGAAATACAGTCTTAGATTTGAAAGACGAAATCTTAAATCATAACAACAAACTTTTCTGAATGATGAGAAATTGTCAGCATTCTTTATAGAGTGGAATGTAATAGTAAAGAAAAGTCAATTGTCTGCAAAACTGTCATCCCAGCGGGTTGTGGAGATCGGTGAGCCTGATCCATACCTCTCACCATCATCAATTAGCAGTCCTGCAGTTCCCAGTGCCCTACATTGATTTGTTTATATCATGAATTTCTCTTTTGCTTCCCTCCTGGACTTTCAGGCGCTCGGGCTGTGCTGCTCTTGTCCTGCTGCCTTGGCTCAATGTGGCGTGGCAGCGAGGCTGAGGAGTGAGGATTCCTTGTGCCAGGCTCAGCCCCGCTCACCTGAACATGCAGCAGGGAAGTGAATTTTATCTTACGATTGCTCCCATGTACAAGTCAGGACCCATCACCACCACATACACAATGTAATTTTGAAACTGCCACCCTCAGCCCCTCAGAAGTGAGGACAACATGGTGAAGATTCCTGGTCCTGCTGAGATGCAAGACCTTGCGCCAGAGGAGATGGGCTGCAGCATTGGATGGTTCTGTACCTGCTAGGCCACTTCTCTTAGGAAGGGATAAGAAGGAATCAGACGGTAACTCAGGGTGGGTTAGTAAGTGCAGGTAAAGCTTATTAATTTCTGCGGGTCTTCGTGTTCTGATGGCTTCATTGTATTGGAGTAAATTAATGCACTTAGTAAATTGGGAATGCTGATGAGAAGTTGACAAAAATCCTCTGCATGCTTGTGCATGTTTGTCTCCAATAGTGGCACTGACTAAACATAATGTATTCAGTCTT